TCACCAGAGGTGCAATTTTCCCCTGAAGAAATACTTCTAAAGACCAGTGCTGGCTATCTGGTATTTATGAGATTGTCCAAAGGGAATTACAAGTAGGTTGTTAGGGTTATCATTTACTCAGTGGTTTCTGCGAATATTGTAGCACAGAGATCCCACAACAGTTCTTCTTAGCATGTGATAAATTGTATACCAGGTGAAGGTGAGAAAGGAGCGAGGGCAGCCGCCGTGATGACAAACTGTTGCTTTGTTGCTCCTGTTATGAACCTGCTATTTCTCTGCCAGCAACCACCAGTGCCTTAGCTGTGCCCAGCATTGCTCTCCTTGGCCCGTGATAACACGCCTGTGCATCTGGGAGTGCTTTAAGGAGATGCCGGGTATGTGGCTACAGAGCATGTTTTTTTTCTTCTGTATGCCAGCGTAGCAAGAACAGTACCTTTTATGGCTACGTTTGCAAGACTCTTGTTGTATAGAGGCTCTTCACGCAACCCAAGTGATTTCCAGTAGCTGATACAGCATAAAGTATCAACTAGTGTGAGAAAGAGGTACCTCAGCCTGCTCTGGTGGGAAGGTCTGTTGTCTTCATCTCTCCCAGATCTGTGACTGGAAACAGGAGCCCATCAATACAGTTGTTACATCTCCCTCTACTTAATGCCTCTATATTGTGTATTAAAATAGATTATTTTAATTACAGAAAGCTACTCAGATATGTTGCATACATGATGTAGCTTCCGTAGTTTTTCCTCTTATGGAAAAAATAGCAAAATGGAGGGGGGGGAATAGAGGGGAAAAAAAGTGGAAGTAACGAGCTTAATAACTTCTAAGTGGTTGTTTTGCTTTGTCATTATACTGCAAATGTGCTTAAAAATAATTAAAGTCCACCCCTAAATCATCTAAAACATGACATCACCTGGGTATAAAATAAAATATCTGGTGGGATCTGAACTAAGATTTTTGTCATTTTTTCGATTAATGGAAAAATCAGTTTGGTTTTGCTGTACTCTTTCAGGACTGCAAGCCAGTTTAATGCTAATGATTCAGCTGTTATCCAGCTAAAGAAAATAAACTGATGAGGTTAAGTAAGGCCACAGTCAACACCAGTTAATGCAGTGTTGAATGTGTTGCCTAACTGGTACTAAAAAGAAAAAAGGAAAAGCAATGTCTAGCACCTTCATTTTAAAAAAAACACCAAAGTTGTCCCCCACCCAAACAAACAAACAAATTTCCCAGAAAACCCAAATAAAAGCAAGTTCCTGAACTCTAAGAAAATCACTGTTAAGGCACTAATGTTATTAATGTCTCCTCTGAACTCCTTGTTTATATATCTTTGCCTTTGCTTTCCTAAATTGGTCAATCACATTCTTTAAGATGAGACTCCAAGTCTTCCCATTGATGTTTGGATTCCCGGGGCTATTGTGGCTTTGAAAGTCCTTATTGCTGCATCTTTGGCTCCTCATCAATGAGCAGATGTTGACCATGGAGGGAAATGATGAATTTACATCTTTATCAGTTCTTTCTGCTGGCAGCTTCTTGTTACTCTACCTTGAAAAGGAGATTGATTTCAAGCTTTTATTCTCTTTGGTTCATTCAGGTTCTTGTTTTTTGCAGCTCCTGTTTGAGCCATAACAAGGAATGTGCCATGCCATGGGACTCAAAACTAGTTATCCACTGTGTTCAGTGGACGTGTGATCAGATTACAGCAGCAGCTGGAAAATTGTTGCAGATACTACCTTGGCCTGGATACCCATCTCAGATTTTGGAATTGAGACTCTGGGGTTGTTTTCCAAGACATATCATGACTAGATACATGACATTAGTCTACCTGTATGATGTCAGTGGGGCTTCGTTTTCAATATCAGAGTGCTATGGAGGATAGGAGTTTCAGCAGGGTTTCTGCGGCAGCAGTGGACTACAGTGAAGGGGCTGTTTGGGCTGGGCTGGCCACAGGAGGGTTGGGAGTTGCCAGAATTGCAGCCCCCAGCATCGCTGCAGTGGCCTTGGCACCCCGAGGAGGGCACTGAAATCGAGGAGTGATGGCAAAGGTCAGCAGACTCTCAGCATCAGCAAAGCCTGGGCAGAAGCTCAGCCCTTCATTCATTCCTGAGCAACCAAGGCGACAATGCAGCCTTTTACCACTGAGAATTCGTGGCCCCGTCCACTGTCCATTGTATTGATTTCAATGAAACTTAAGCGTGTACTTAGAATTAAGCACTTCTTTGCCTGGTGCCCTCAGGAGAGAGTTTCCTCAACTGGGGCCAAACATGTACTTTGTATAGGGCATCTTCTGACCCAGAAGGTCAATTAAAGCTTCTGAGGGACTCTGAAGGGCTATTTTTAATTGTTCAAAGTCTTGGTTTGTTTTCAGGCCCTGCAAAATAATCTGAATGTGTGTTTGTATAAATGCATAAGTGAAGAGCTGGCAAAGGAAGAAGCTTGCTATTCATTGTGGTTCAGGTCCTGCGACTGCTGAGTCGGGCTGAGTTTTGCCATTTATTTCAGTCAGTGCGGGGGCAACCAGTCTAGCCATTTTGAATGAATTATTTTTTTTTTCTTCCCCTCTGCCTGCCCCCCACATGGAGACAAGAGTAGCTGGTATAAAATCGAGGTATTTTTGCTCACATGATACATAACTTGTAAAATTATTGTATGTTTGCTTAATGATTATAACCTCAGAGCAGAGGATAATTTCCCTCCTTCTAATGGAAATCCCAGCACTGGGAGTGAGGCACAAGTGGGACCCACCTAAATGCCGGAACACAGAAGTGTTCCTGAGTCTGGTAGCTTTGGTACTGTAATCTTCAGGTATGGTGTATTCCATAGCAAACTGCATCATTTTAGTAGTTACTGCCTGTGGGTAGGAATTATCCACTTCTGGGCTGCTGTGACTCAAAATCGCATCTTTGTTGACGTCACTTCATCTGAGCTTAAACTGTGCTTTTTCTTGTTTATCTTTGTTAGCTATTTTTTTTAGTGTGATCTGATGAAAAGTTGTTTTCCAAAAGATGAAGTGGAGGAACAGCCCTAGATCCTCCCTTTGCTCTTTGGGGAGGCAGGAGCAGGGACTGCAGCAGGAAAAGACCTCCCATCCTGGCAGGTTTCTAGGCTGGTGCTCTGCAAGCCTGTGTGTTAAACCTAAGGGAATTAACGACTCTGCAGACTGAAAATTCAGATGCGCTCCTTCTTTTGTTTCAGGAGGAAGTGTTTTCTGCTGCAGGTCTGAGAAAGGGGAGGCTGGCATGGAGAAAGAGGTAAGTGAAGAAAAACCATGCTTTAAACCAGAAAAATTAAAGGGGCTATTCCTAGTGTTGTTATTTAATAATATTATTTGTAGTGCGATGGGAGGGAAGTCAGCAGACACGTAGGCTCCTTTATATCATTGACAAGTCAAGGGGATGATTAACGAGAGTACCAGACAATGTAATGGTAGGAGAAGGCCCACAGAAGTTAAACAAAAGTGCCTTCAGAATTTAGCGAATTCCCATGATCCATAGTAGGACCTCATTGTGCTTGTCTACTGTTTCTATTTTTGATTAGATTTATAAACACAGCACCACATATTTTCCTGTGGCTCATAGCCCCGGGGCAGAGCGAGATTGACTGTGCTGAAACTGTGAGGCTTGTGAATTTCGGGCAAGGGATGGAGTGAAATAAGTAGTGTAATTGTTTTTGTGGAGTGACCGTGGGACCTCCTCTGTTCTGAATTACACATGGTTCAACCCTTTGACCTAACCAACCTCGGCAATGCCTGGTAGATCTCTTAAAGCTGTGCTGAAAGGTCCTATCAGTGACATGTTGGAACATTATCTGTCATGTGAGATGTGTGCCAACAACCATATTAAACTACATTAATTACTAGTGAGGCCATGTTTGTGACAATCTCAACTTCATTTAAGCCATCATCATGTTAGTTATTGTTTAAACAGGAAGTACAAATGGGGACAATTTCTGAAATCGAAATGCAGCACCAATGTTTTCTTTAATAAATTGTATGTTTTACTTAGTTTTATTCCCTTTCTGTTTTTTTCCCCCAGCACTTTTGTTCTTGTCATCGGCTCTGTAGCTTGAGTTTTTGAGGGTTTTTTTAACTTTAAGAGCAAGTAAGAAAAAGAGTACTTCTTAGCAACTAAACTAATATGCCAGTGTAATTTATATTTCTTTCAATGTAAATTTAAACGATACCACAGTTGACTGAAAGTGCCAGTGCTTGTTTTCAAGCAAGAAGCAAACATGTGAAAGTAGCTTACGTGAGGCTGAAAGATCACATGTGGGTCACTCGCTTGAGGTACACCTTCGCTGCTCTGTGCCCAAGCTAGAGCATCTCTGCATGGTGATGTTTGCACGTCTCTGGATCAGGAGCAAAGCATGCATTTCTCTTTAATTCTCAGGGAATAATTTTCTTATGGGCCTGACCCTGTAGGTAGCAAAGTGTACTGTGAATCCTCAGAAGGCAGCCCGGTATGTAGAAATTCAGAAAGATTCTTTGCGTGTTGTCGTTTTCTGAAACGATTCTGAATTTTATAGGGGAATAGGCAAAAGCTCTCCCGCGTGCTCCTGTATGGGCGATGTACAGGTTCAGTTGCACCTAGCTGTGCCCAGTATTTTAGACTAGACACGTAGGGTTACATCTCCCACCTACACGCTGAGCTGCTTTTTTTAGACAAGGCTTTTCCTTTAGCCTTGTTCTGTAGTTAGAACGGCCTTAAATGAAGTGGTTATTTATTTATTTATTTTTAATTGCTGCGGAGTCAGCTAAAAATATGTTTGACCCTACTAAGTGTCATTCTCATTAGCAATGAAGAGTTTGCTCTCTGCAAAACCTAACATGGAGTGCTTAAAGCAGACAGGTGCAAATTACAAGCTGTTTCTCTTTGGCTGCCATCCCTTAAATAGATAAAGTAATAGGCTAGGAGAAGGGAAAAGGTTCCAGCTCCAGCTGCATAAAAGAAATCCTTAACAGGGATTTAGCAGCTGGTTGCAAGAATTAAATGCTGTAAATACCAACTAACGCATTTGTGCGTGCGTTGGCAGAGGGATATGTTTTTAGTAAGGCTCTATCCCTTTTTATGCAGGAGGATCGTTCTTTGAAAACTCTGCTCTTCTTTATGTTGAAAGACTAATGCTCTTGCTGAAGTGAATGAGAACAGAAGCAAACGTACCTGTTCCTGTTTACCATCATTACACTCCTTAGAGCATTTCAGGCACTATTAGGTTCTTGGAGCCCTACCAGATTGACAATACTTCCAGCTACTTCTCTTTTGGCTGTATTCAAACAAGGCCCCAAAGGAAGGAAAAAAAAAAAAAAGGCAACAAAACCAACCCACAAACAAAACCATGGATGAATCTGCTGAGCTAGTTTGCTGATGTTAGAAACAGTTGTTCATATTAGGAACACCTAATTTAATTTCATGAAAGAGACATAACATGCCAGTATGTGTATGAATCTAAGGTATGCATTTCCTAAAAGGAACTAAAACTCTGTCATTCCAAAGTTGCTCTTCTTTTTGACTTTCAGCTTGCATGGGGACTGCTGTCTGGAAGCAGTAACTTTAACTTTAACTCTAAGGCTGCTGATGAGGTCTGTCTGTGTGATCTTCGTAAGCAGATAAGGGTAGGGAGACAGCTCAGAGCAGAGCTTGTTTACAGCAAGACAGAAGAAAACAGCTAGACATAAATGAGGGCTGACGGTTTCATGAAGCACAATTGGTTGATCACAGATTCAATATGACTGCCCTGAACTGAGCGATGATCCGTACAGTATGCAAAATTCACTTTCTTGCTGGTCTGTGCCCACCAGCCTTCCAGCAGCTTTCCCAGAGCCCCTCAGCCACGGCTTTGAGTGGAACCAGAGCTGAACGCAGCATTGTTGTACCCAATTCCTTTTGACAACAATCACATTCTTTTAAAAACTTCATAGGTTTTAGTTGTCACTGGTTATAAATGAGTTGGTTCCCCCCCCCCTTGCCGTTGCTGCTGCTGCTGCTGCTGTTGTTGTGGTGCTCGCTGCTCTCCCTCAGACCCCAGTACGGTGGGTCCTGGTACTCCTGGTTTTCCTTTGTTTCAGTTGGTATCGGAAAGCAGGCGGTGCGTTTTAATGATGATGGCATGCAAAAAGGCATTTAAAGGTTTAGGTTGCTTTTTGAACGACACACTGATTAGTCTGCAGTGTGCCCAGACACTTCTAACCCCCCTTGACTTTGCTGTAAAGCACCATGCTCAAGTTAAAAAGGTTTTTTTTTTTAAAAAAAAAAGTTAAAAGGCAAGACTTTTTGGTTTTCACTAGCTGCGGTGGAGCTTTGAGGTAGCAATTCATCCTATCAGCAGCATCATCACTCTTTAAACTTGACTTTGCATGCAAAGGACATCCCCTTTCTGTGTGCTGGTTGTGGATGAACAGGTCTGACGTGTGGTATTTGTAGATGCAAGTTGGACCACCTCCACCACAGGTGTAAACCAGCACAGCCTTTGTATCACTTGAGGCTCAAGTTATGTAACTTGGCTTTTTTGTAGGAATGCTTTTTTATGTTTATTTTTGGATAATGTTCTGTAATTAGAATTGTGGCTTTCTGTACGGACGTGCGTTCGTGTGTATTTGTCTAGGTACACTCACACAACCGGACTGTGCCTGCAAATATTGGCAAGTGGTCACTGAAAGAGTTTTATTTAATTTGCTGTTAGAAACCTAAGTTTTGCAGGTACATGTGAACTGATTAAAGAACAATTGCTTTAGACATAAATTTGCATAAATACATAAATTAACTAGTAGTGACTAATGATAAAATGAATATAAAATGCCACCGGATAATTTCCTGCCTATTCTCTGATGAGAAGGCATGAGTATCATAAAGGTAGGGGAGCTGGGGAAGGAAACCTAAAATGAAAGGGGGGGGGTGGGGGGAGAGAAGAGTGTAATTTACACTACTTAAAGGTGCTCATGCGTAAAAGAGAGCAGGTTGAGGAAATTGGCTGGAGATAGGTATGAAAGGAAAATGTCTTCTAATTTCCTCTGAAGCACAAAATGACAAGAACACGTGTTGATTACACAAAGGCCACCACCAAAATGCTCCGCTATTCAGCTAGGTTGAGAAGTAACCCCGGAAGAATTCTGCTCTGCTGTTGAAAATCGGGTGTTGCTTTCATTGTAAAAAAAAAAAAAAAAAACAAAAAAAAAACAAACAAAAAAAACCCAACTCATGAAAAGCACCTTTTCCAAACCTGATCACGTTAAGGTACAAGGGCATAATTTCTTTTGAAGTTCTTTGCAAGTAAACAGGAGTCACATGACTGTACATAAACTACTTAAAAATACTAATTTGCGTTTGAGTGAGTGAAGTGCCAAAGAATGTAGTCTATTGTGTCCCTGAAAAAAATAAAATTTGGTGCTACTATAATGAATGCTTTAAAAAACAAAACAAAACAAAACAAAAAAACCCCCAAAACCCTAAACACCCCCCCCCAGAACACACACACACATACGTATATAAATCCACTCCAAAGCATCAAAACCCACTATGTGTCTTTATTA